GTGTTGTGTGTGAAAGTAAAGTAATGTGTTTTGTAAATCCGTAAATTGCCGTTCTTACTTCTCATCGTCTGGTGGGTAAGAAGATAGGAGGAATTTCTTTACGATTCTTACGGATAGTTCCAATGCAAGTTAGACCTTTACTCCTCAATACCTCTACCAGTTCTATAGATGTAAACCAGTTGTAAAAAGTTATAGATCTGTTGGTCCCATAGAGAGGAGTAGTTAAGCGCATAACAGCCTGTGTCGGCTTACTGTATCTTTTCTGTTTCTCTGTAAGTCCAATACCGTCAGAATTTTTTCCGTATACATATAAGCATTAAATAAATAGCTAGTTCGAGCATCAGTACAACACATAATTTTTATACCATACTTTACGGGCTTACTCGGTATGTACATTTTGAAGCAACATCGACCTCTGAATCCCACTAGCATCTCATCAATACAGGCTAAAGTTCCCACAGTGTAGCATGCCTGACTGTTGTTAATAAATTCACTAAAAATTTCTGAAATCGGTGCTGCTGGATCCAACACTATTCTCTCATTTCTGTCTTCGGGATTGTCAAATCGCAAACATGACAAAAGGAACGCACATCTCTCTTTTGACATAATGCATCTCATTATTTCTCTACCAGTTCCATTAGTAGCAAAACTAGTATCTAGGTTTTCATTGTTTGATTTAAATAAGCATGTAAATGCTAAAAATCCCAAAAATGCGTGAAGTTCTGTCATGTCAAGGTCTTTGAGCGAAGGTGAATTTTGATTTTTTTACTTGGCTCTTTCTTTGCCGATTTTCACATTCGTCCATCTAAGGATTATGTTGCAAATATTATCACTGAATAATAACTTCCAAACCTGCAAAGGGTCTGCACTATCTCCAATTTTAGCTGCAGGGCGTAATCCAGGTAACTGTAAAACTATATTCTGCTGTGGACGCCGGCCTCTATTTGAAGTGGGAGGATTTTTTGACCATTTGTTTCTATTTCTACCATAGAAATAATTCCCTGTCTCCTCTGGATCGTCTTCTTCACTGCTTTGGTCAACATTATCTTCTCTACAAGCCTGTTCTACCTCATTTTTATTTTCTGAAACTAAAAAGAGAACTTTAGGTAATGGTATACTATGCGGTCTGCCATCGCGTTTCTACTATAGCTTACGGTCTACCCAGGGATGCGGTGTATACGCTGTATTCGACAAAAAAATCTTTACAAAGTGAACAAAATGCATAAATCATAAGAATTTCTATTTTAATTTTACATAGCAATACTTTCAATAAATAATTCTTCAACATTATCCGTTTTATTCACTTTGTAAAAATTGTTTTTTTTTGGTATTGTATACATGTGTTGCTAATCACCATATTCTTTTCTCAGAAGGATTTGCAAACAATAATGAAAGGCACCATTGTAGACGAACTGTTTATTGCTAAGTACAATAAACATTTATACTACTATTATTTAGGAATATAAAATAAACTACGCAAATTTATTTTCTTTACTAATATGCAAATAACACTCTAATATTTTCCCAGGGTATGCACAAATATGAACCCCTCTTTTCAAATAACATGGCAAGGTAGATTTACTTTCATTTCATTTTACATTGATTTTGCTCCAAAATAAATGTAAAATAGTTGTTACTTGTGAATAATTAATTTTTCCACAAGATTTTTCTTGCATATCATTATTTTATGCATCAGGTAGATCGCACCCTCCTGGTAGACCACATACTAGAGTAACACCAAACTTTAGTACAATACATACATAATAATTCCAAGAGATTTGACTTACCCTCTATTTCTGATTCCGTTTCGTGATCGCTGTCAATAGCAACATTTCCATCACAAATTGATTCAACTTCGCTTATGTCGTCATCTACGTCATCAAGCCATTTCAAAAGCGTTTCCTCATAGTTTTTATCCCCATATTTGACCTTTTTTGACGTACTGGGTCCCTCATCCATTTTCAGATAAATAGTAAATAAATACGAACACTAACAACCCGTCTATCAGACGGAAATCACACTTTGAATCTAAATATCTTTAGAATAACAACCTGCAGCAAACTGCCGATCTCAATACTAATAAATAACAACCCAACTTGATTCAATTCTTACTCCTAGGTATTTAAAATGTTCCACGTGTTCTAGTTTTTTCCGTTTAATTGTATTGCGTGTGTCTTTCTCCTATTTGAAATTATCATTGTTTTTGTTTTCTCTATATTTATCTTCATATTTATGTTTCACAGTTCTTCTTCTAGGATTTCAAGGTTTTTATGTAGGTCTTCTCTGTTTTCTGCTATTAAAACCATGTCTTCTACAAATATAAGCTCTGATAGTTGAGTCTGTTTCATTTGCCAGTATCCTAATGTTAGTTTTCTCATTCTTCTCTTGGCTTTCTTTATTGTTTCATCAAGTACCACTGAGAACAGCAGTGGGCTCAACATGCATCCCTGTTTAACGCCTTGACTTGTAGTAAATTCTTCGGACTCCTTGTTATTGGTTCTCACCGTATTTGTATTATTAGTACATATCCTTTAGTACATTAATTGTTATCCTCTCAACTCCTTTGTCCTTTAATATCCTCCATACGTCCTTTTTTTGGAGTCTGTCAAACGCCTTTTCCAGATCAATAAATTATATTTATGTATTTCTCTATTTTTATTGATTACTTTCTCACTTATTTGTCTTATTGTGAATATGTGATCTTGTGTGTTTCTGTCCTTCCTGAATCCACATTGTGTATCTTCCATTGTTGGTTCTATTTGGGTTTTTATTCTTGTTTCTATTATTCTTATTATTCTTGCGAATATCTTCACAGGACTACTTAATATAGTAATACCTCGCTAATAATTACAGTTCCTCTTCTCGCCCTTTTTCTGTATTGGTAGTATAATGTCTTTCTTCCAGTCCTGTGGTATTTCTGTTCTCTTTATGATATCATTCATTAGATCTTTCATGCTGTCCACTCCCTCTATTCCCATGAATTTTATCATTTCCGGGGTGATATGATGCCTGGTGTTTTGCCTAATTTAACTCTTTCAATTGCCTTTTCTAGTTCCTCTGTTGTTATGGGTTCTACTTTTTGTTCTTGATTTATTTCTTATATCTCCACTATGTTGTCTACGTCTGTATGAGTAAGCTCTTTGAAATGTTCTCCCCATGTTGCCATTATTTGGTTTTCTTCTGTTATTACCTTTCCGTTCGTGTCTTTTATATTCGGCATCATGTGTTGCTTCTTTTGTCTAATGCGCCAAAGAAGAGTTTTTGATTTTCCCTATAATTATTTGTCATTGTTAGTCCAAATTTTCCCATAACCTTTCTTTTTCTGCTTTTACAGCTATTTCAACCTCTTTTCTTTTTTTATATGCCTCATAATCTTCAGGGCGCTTTATACTTAGATATCTCTTCCATTTTTCTTTTTTGATCTTTATTTTCCTTCGTATTTCGTCCGTCCACCATTCAGTTCTCCTCATGCTAGTATTTGCTATTTTTGTCTTCCCCCAAGTTTCCTCAGCAGCTATGATTAAGTTGGTCTTGAGATTTTCCCACTTTTCTACCATACTTGCAGTTTTTGCCCTACCTTTCAAAATCCTGTCTAATTTTTCTTGGAATATCTTGTTATATCTTTTTTCTTTTAATTTGTAGCTTTTACTTTTTCATTTACTACCTTTCTCTTCTCTTTTTCCTTTTTTTGCTGTTCTCATTCTTATTATTACTAGATGATGATCACTGCCAATCTCTGGGCTTATTTTCACTTTCGTGTCTTGTACTCTTTTCCATTTGTTACTACTTAAGAAAAAGTAAGCTATGATTGATTTTTCATTTGTGCTTTCTTATACTCTCGTGTATTTGTTTACTTTTTTATGTTTAAATTTTGTATTTGTTATAACAAGTTTATTCTCCATACATATTTCTATTATTCTTTCACCATTTTTGTTTAGTATTTCTTTTCCCATGCATTCCTCAATTTCATTGTTTTATTTCTGACTCTACCGTTTAGATCTCCCATTACAATTATATTTTCTTCCCCATTGTGAATTTGCATTTGGAGCTCCTCAAAAAATATATCCTTCTCTTCCTTTTTTGCATCTTCATTTAGTCCGTAGGCTGTTATTATTGTCCATATTTCCTCGTCTATTAGTTTCATTTTTAGCGATAATATTCTCTGGTTAACATGTATGTTTCTTCTATAACGTATTGTAGTCTATTCGGTGTAATTATTATCCCTACGCCTTCTTTGGCTCTCTCCTTTGCATCAGCTCCTGTCCAAAATAACCAATATCCTTTGTGTATATTCTTAAAACCTCTTCTTTTCATTTTTGTTTCCGTTATTTCTAATATTTATTAATATTAACTAATATTTCTAATACCCTTTTATTACAATAGTAGTTCTAAGTCTGTAGTTCTAAGTACAAACATCCGTATAGTGTATGTCCGCATATTCCACAAACGGAAAAAGAATTTTAGTGTACTCTATTGGATAGATATTCCAGGATATAGCCACGGCCTTACAGCCTTATGCTTTTTATATAAAAATACAATATTATGATCATTAGAAGACTGAATCACACGCATACTGCTGATTTAGATATCCTCTGTATAAAATAAGCAAAGTAGATGAAACAACATGTAAATTATGTGAAAATGTAGAGAAAAATGTCGAACATATTTGCTAAAACTACAGGACAATTATTCATCAACTCCAAAACTACCTAGTACAGGTTTTTAGAATCTGACCAGATGACAAATTTTATTTCTGTAACGGCTTTCTTCTAACCCCTTATATATTTCTCGTTACATTAGGTTTCTCATTTGACAGAGCGATATACATAAATTTTAGATGTTTTTTCATAAAATAAGATTAAAAACACCAAAACTGTGAATAGTCTTTACTTAAGATATCAGAGTATCAGGTTCTCAAAGTTTTATTTTTTGTGTATAACCATCAAAACTAATGATCTATAGATTCATGTTTTATAAAAATAAATATCAAATACAATTACCAATGCAATTTCTGGGCCCTGCACTAAACGGAGTATAGACATAAGGGTTTGTTCCCCGTGTATCTTCAAATCTCTGGGGATCAAATTTTAACGGATCTGGAAAGTATTCTGGATCCCGATGTACTGCGAATATAAATAATCCTACAGTAAGTCCCTTTGGTAATACTTTTCCTTCTAAAAAATAAAATAAGTATACATTATATGTATTAATATTTATTTAAATTAACAAGATATTATAAAGTTTACAGTACATGCTTGTTTAATCTCTCTGGTAGTAACTAGTGATAAATTATTCTTGAGACATTCAGCTATCAAAACAGAAATTCAGTTAGCAACTAACAGTTTGACATAAAAAAGTCATGTTTTTATTTAGGTAAATTGTTGTCGTATGGCCGTAGCATCCACGGAGGTATTCACCATATCTGAATGGTCTACGACCGCCGCTCTAGAGGAGGATCGAAGATTTCTCGATTCCATCCTTTACCTCGTGGTAATGGTGTGTACTCGAACCACACTCCACGTGAAGTTAACTGGTATCTCTGTAGTCCTCAAAAGCCCACCGACAATTTTAAATACTTATCAGTTCGATAGTTTTTTACTTGTCGGTGTATTATTTTCTTACGTATTAAATATGTGTGAGTGGCCACTCTGATGGTTGTGCTACACCTCGCACGTTACCTCCCGAGGAAGCAATCTTATGTCTTGTATAGACGTTGACTATTTCCATCGAGAAGGCTTCTAACGGCAAAGTACAACTTCGGCTCGGCCACCAAGTGTTTACTAATAAACTTCTCTTCACCTCGACAAAAGAATGACCAACAGTCACTACTCCGGCTCCTACACCTTCTAGTGAATGCTTCGTAGTCAAATGGACTTCGTTCGTATTCACTGTAAAAAGCGTTCCGACTCTAGTTGAAAGCAAAGTTTTTACAAAGTTTCGATCTTGGGTAATAATAATAAACGTTGAATTTTTAAAAGGCACTCAGCCAACAAGATCTAGCGGGTGGTATAAGATGACTAGATCCCGATCGGAAGATGTGCTGCCATTTTATACACTTTATTACAGTTAATGACGCTGTTTGTGATTGGCCGGCCAGAGTGACAATCTGCGTCGTGATTGCTCACTTCTGGCGAGATTGTACAGAAGCGGTGCTAATTTTCAATACATGTTTCTGAAAGAAACTTGAGGCGCCATCTAGTGCTTGGTAACCAGAGTATGAAAACAGTAGTTTGGTAATTGAGAAGGGGTTCACAATTACCCTGACGGGACACTTGATCGTTGCAATATTGTGAACGGCGATACTAGGGTAACTGTGATTTCAAAAGGTTTTAGTTTAGGTAGTTTACAACTTTACAACTTTGCAAGCCAAGAAAATATATTTAAAAGGCTATCAATCGTGGTATTGGAAGTAGGTATTCAATCAACAGTTATATTAAAATTGAATGGGCGGAATAGTAGACTAGAGACATGACATGCACAGGGTAATGTGCAAAATAAGGGTACTAAACAAAATTAGGTACCTACTAGAATTTAATTTAAAATAAATGAAATGCTACTAAAAAAGTCTGACTGAAGGTGATCAAACTGCCCTTTTTAGAAAGAGATGAATATATTTTGGTTTCTCGGATAAAACTATAGGTAAGTATGGGTTTAGACTTTCTCGCCAAAAAATACTCAACATTGTACATACTTCTTCTTTAAGTGCCATCTCCGTGACGGAGGTCGGCAATCATCACAGCTATTCGGCTGAAAATGTTCACATGCGCTGAAAAGTTTATTTGATACATCCGTACCACTCTCTCAGGTTGCGCAGCCATGACATTCTACGCCACCCTGTGCTTCTCTTTCCTTGGATCTTTCCCTGCATAATTAGTTGGAGCAAGATGTATTTCTTTCCATGTGTAATATGTCCGAGATATTTTAATTTTCTTATTTTAATTGTATTTAAAACTTTTACTTGTTCTTTATTCATTATTCTCAGAACCTCCTTGTTTGTATTATGTTCAGGATATGTTCAGAATTTTTCCATACACCCCCAGCTCGAATGATTTCAGTTTTTTCATTGATGTCGCATTAAAGGTCTAAGGTTTCGTTCTATAAAATAAAGTCGAAAAAACATTGCACCTCGCCAACCTTACTCTTATTTCCAATTTTAAATCCCTTTTACATGGCCTCTTCTTATTTTGTTTAAATTTTCTCAAGCCTTTTCTACTCTGATTTAGATCTCCCGAATGTAACCATTTTTGGTGTTAATCATTGTTCCCAGATGTTTATCCACTTGATCGACATTGGTTCCGTTTATTAGAAGATTCTCGTTATTTCTTTGAGATTTCGATATTTTCATAAATTTCGTCTCCTTGACGTTTATTGTTAGTCTGTACTCTTTTCCATACTCCGCTATTCTTGTCACCAGTCTCTGAAGATCTTCAATATTTTCGGCTAAGATCACAGTGTCGCCCGCATATCTAATGTTCTTAACGGGAACTACATTTACCTCTATTCCAGCTGTTTCATTCATCCTCAAGAGCTTTTTTCAGGATCTCTTGGGAGAAGGCATTAAAAAGGATTGGAGATAATACGCATATCTGTCTCAGCTTTCGTTAATAGGTACTTTTGCTCGCTGTTTATAGTATAAGTTTAATATAATCCTGAGGTCGCTGTAGTCGATCTTCTTTAATTTCAGGATATTCATTATTTGTTCATTGTTCATGTCGTACTTTATCGAATGCCTTAGTATAGTCAATAAAACATGCTGTACCTGTACAGTTATATGTTAAGTAAAATAATCTGTTAATACCATCTAAAGAGGGAAAGCGGTAAAAATGGTTTTTTAAAATTTTCAGAACGCAACCGACTTTCTGTTAAGAAACCTGAGATAATTGAAGCATCAAGTGTAAGACAACAAAGTGACTTTATGATTTCTTTGATCAACTGAAAACTATTCAACTGGAACTGCATCAATACCCTACTAAGATATGGAATGCAGATAAAACGGCTTTGAGTTATGACCCCAGCCGTACTAAGGTTCTAACTGGAATCAGAGAAATAACACAAAGCAAACTGCGGGCTTAGGATGGGAAACAACAGTTTAATGAATCCATATTGCCACATATGATACTCCAAAATGGCAAAAGAGTATGGGACAGTATGTTCGGTATAGATAAATATCCAGAAATATCTTAGTATATCTTATTATGCCTTAGAAAATGGTTGGATCAATTATTTTTTCTATGGTTCAAAAATGTTTTTTTTTTAATTTCATTGAAATCCCTACTCTTTTGACTTACGATGGTCAGTTATCGCACATTTTATACAAACTAATTGCGTTGGCTATGGCAGAATATGTGACTATTCTTAAATTACCGCCACATACTTTTTACGTATATGTTTTTAAGTGTTTTAGATTCTATTTGCAAAGAAAAGTTTTAACCCGACAAGTTAAAATAATTTTATAAAGAGAAAAACATTCCTGACACTTGGGAAGCAATCTCCGATTCTATGTACAATCTCTTGCAGTTCTACTACAGAAAGCCAGACTTGCAATTCTCCAAAGCTAAGACAAAGGAAGAAGAAAACAGTAGATGTTGCTAAGGTGACTAGATCTAAATTCTATTTAGAACACCTACAGTTATTAAAAATTAAGATAAAACCATCGAAGAATGCATTCAAGAAACAATCAAAGTTAAACAGTGAAGTTTTATAGATTTCTAACAGATCCAGATAACAGATCTAAAACTAACAGATCCAGAATACAGACCAACTGCAATAAAAAAAGCAAAAAATAGTTTTATAGATTTCTAACAGATCCAGATAACAGATCTAAAACTAACAGATCCAGAATACAGACCAACTGCAATAAAAAAGCAAAAAATGCCCTCCTAAAGAATGCATATCCCGAACATTTAATCGAAACTATTTTCAAATTAAGACTCAATAAATTTTATAACAATACAACTAACAACAAACCCAACAGTATTAAAACCACTTATACCACTCTTCCATATATAAAAGGTTTATCCGAACAACTAACAAATCTTTTAGCCAAACATAATATAACAGTGGCCCACAAAGGCAACAACCTCTTAAATAAATATTTCACAAAACTAAAACCACAAACTCCAAAACTTAAAAAATCACATGTTGTTTACGAGATACCATGTACTAACTGTGAAGGTGTCTATATCGGTCAAACCAGTCAACTGCTTCAATCCAGAATTCGTTCTCACAAATACGACAAGAACAACGTCACTGCGCCCACAAAACATGAAAGCGGAAAGAAGCATAAATTTGATTTTGAAAACACCAAAATTTTAAAAACAGAAAAAAAACAAAAAGAAGAGGCAGATATACGAATCAATAGAAATAAAAAGAAACACCAACGCAATAAATGACAAAAAAGACACACAAAACCTAAATAAAATATATTTCAATCTGATTTAAACAATAATAATATAACATCATAAAAAACTCTTAAAGTCATAACATATCTCCACCTTACCTTTTTCGAAAACATCAATGATACGCCCATATAAAAATAATTATATACTAATGACTAGACTTCGGCAAATACGCATATTGCATATTTTGCATATTGTGCATATTTTATGCAAATATTTTATATTTTGGCATATTTGTATAAAAGTTTGCATAAAGTGCATAAAAGTTCAGATTTTTATACTGTATTTAAAAATTTTTAAACATACCAATTTATTTCAATTCTTGTATAAAATTTTGTAGTCATTTTAATCAAGAAATGATCTAAGTACGTAATCTCTACAGGTACAAAACATTTACAATTTCAAAGAAGATCAATTTAAGTAGCCCTCAACATTCTTAGAAAGTCTCGGTCACTGAGGCATTCAGTTATGGGATAATCGCTAAGGGTTCGCTCATTTGCATTTTATGATCTAATCCTCAAATCTATCTACAATTTATTGTATCTTAACAGCAGGTAAACGGCTAATAGTTTTGTTCCTAATTTAGGGATTTTCCAAAATCTCCCAGTTTATTGAATTAGGTACCTAAACATTTCTAATTTGATGCTCAGATTTGTAAATCATTTTTGTTTTGATATTCAAAGCGTAAACACTCGTTGTGCGTAACAAAAAGGAAGATTCTGATTTTATAATGCTTAAAACAACCCGTGCTTCAACTTGGATTAAACCTTATAAAG